AGCAGGTTCTCCTGTAAAGCCTCCTGACAGTGAGGTCCTGCAGCATCTTCAACCTGTAACTGTGAGAAACTCATTTCTGACTTTCAGTTTTAGAATTGTGAGGTAACAAATTTCTAATTCAAACTACCGATCTGTTATGGCTATGAAAGAAAAAGGATACACCAGGCCTTACAAACTATTAGATAGGTTGTATGAACCTAGACAAGTTACCTAACTGAAAACTTGGTGTTGAGTCTGTATCCTTTGTCCTTGGCCTCCTGCTGCTCCCAAGGGGAAAACCACAGCAGATGCTTGAGAGAATGAGGGGAGATGTTAAGGCGCATGGCACGTACAGATGACAGTGCAAACACTTGAAGGGCACAGTTCTAGGACATTTGTTAGGCACTTTGTAAACTACTGGGCTTACTTCTCATGGCTCCACTGTGTTGACTATCACAGCTCCTCATTTTCCAGGTGAAGAAGCGGACATGAACAGGTTAAACAGTTTGATCAAACTGCATGATCAAAGTGAAAAATACCACAGGAATAATTTTTGAAATAGTCTAGATGTGTTTTTAAGATATTCTCATCTCATTGCCAGATGCACTCTATCCATTGAAATAATAGTTTCAGTGTTTCAGAGGGAAAGAAAGATATGAGTTAGAACAAAGGCATGACTGTCAAATGAGATTTTCAATTCTCTAGCACAGGATTAATCTTGAAAGCCAAGCTTTGTTAAGCGAGAGTTTTAAATATTCTTTTATTGCTCATTAGCTCACCAAAAAGCAGAACCTGTAGGGGGAAGCTTAGGAACACAGGAGGGAGGAGGAAAGTCCTAAGTGCAGGGAGCCCACTGGGAAGCTGCTTGACCCCGTGAAGGGAAGTGAGAGTAAGTGACCCATCCAGAAACCAGTCACTGCACTTTTCATTCTGCCTGAGTTTGGACTTTGAACTTCGAAGCCCATGCTCGAGCCTGGTCTCCAGACTGCAGGGCTACTGAGTCATGGCGGAAGCTCTGGGAGGTGGCCTGTTGGAAGCGGGGCTGTCGGTGGCCTGCCCTTCAAGGGGCATTGGAACCCTGGCCCATCCTGTCTTCTCTCACACCCTGCCCATGAAGCGAACAGCTTGATTGTACTCTGTGCACAGTGTGCTGCCTGGGCACACGCCCAAGAGCAACAGGGCCACCCAGCCAGGAGAAGGCATGGGCCAAACTGAGCCTTCCCATAGATAATTTGTCTCACTGAGATCATGGAAAGCCGATTGCTGTGTCCTCACCCCGCATGATAACTTCTGTTCATCTATGTTGGACTTGGGTAATTTTTTCTTCCTCCTCCCCTTTTTTTTTTAAATTTTATTTTGCTGTGTAAACCCAGCTGGCCTCAAGAGCCCATCTGCATTCTGCTGGGATTAAAAGCGGCACTCCTACTTCCAGCCACTTCTTGTTTGTGAAGACTGACTCTGTGGCGGGTTTTAATGGCTTTTCACATCAGGAGGATCTAGAAAGACTTCAAACGTTTCACTCTCCTGTCTGACATATGTATAAATAAAGTAAACCCAACCATGATTTATTCAAGTAGAAACTGTTTACCCCTGATCTTCTGACAGGCTGTACAGACTTGAAGCAAATACTACTTTCAAGTCTCAATTTCCTTTTTGTACCCCACTTGGCATAGCTTCGGAAAAGGAAGCCCTTTCTTAGGCGAATTGCCCTCCATCCCAGCAGGGACAGGCCAGGAAGTGGAAAGTACCTGTGAAGCAAGTTGGACCCTTTCCCCAGGGAAACAGCATTCTCCCAAGAGGCCCACAGTAAATTCACACCGTAATCTCACTGAGCACTAAGAGCCACGTGGCTGCAGGGAGTATAGGGAAGGTTTCGTTTTACAGTAGTTATCTCCGACAGGATCCGTGGAGGAAGAAAGGCAAGCTGGGAAGCAGCTGCTGGCACCCACCCAGACCTCTCTTTCAGCCTCCTGCAGATATTACCCCTGCTCACAAAGCTTCATGGAGTCGAACTTCCTTGTGTCAGCAAGCTCTTCCCTGTCCCTGAGGGGATGGCATACGGTTCTCTAACACGGACTCTCCCAGCTTGTCCAGCAGCTAGCAGCTTCACATCTGCCCATCTCTGCTCAACTCTGCCTGTCTCAGGAACACTGACTTCTTTCTTAACTAGTAACTCATCCACAGGAAACTCCTTCAAGGATCTCTGTCATCCTGGGCCTTGTGTCCTCCTCCTGCCTTCTTTTCTTTTCCCTTCTCCTTCGTGGAGGCAGCACAGCTTGCTATGTGGTCAAGGACAATCTTGAACTTCTGATTCTGCTGCGCCTGAGTGCTAGGACTCTAAGATGACAACCATGAATCTCCAGGGCCATGTGCATGCTGAGTAAGCCCTCTAGTACCTTAGCTGCACCCCAGCCACTGAGCACTTCCCCTAGTCTGATGTTTGTGAGACAGAGTCTATGTAGCTCTGGTTGTTCTGGAACTCCCTATTTAGTCCAGGCTGGCCTTGAATTTGCAGAGATACACCTGTCTCCACCTCTTGAGTGCTGGAATTAAATCTGTGCACCACCATGCCCAATTTGCTATTTGATTTTTAAAGACTTTTTTTTTTTTTGAGACAAGGTTTTGCTATGTAGCCCAGGCTGGCTTTGAACTTCTGATCCTTCTGGCCCAGGTTCCCAAGAGCTGGAATTTACATTCATAAGCTACTAGGATCTGCTTTCAAATACATACTGAGCTGATGTTCCTAGAAAAATAATTACAACTACATTAATATTCTATAAGGGTGGTTAACTGATTAGGAGTCAATGACTGTGAGAGTTGGAATGTTGTAGGTCCTGAGCCAAATTATCTTGGGTTATCTATCTAAATAGCTATTTATTGCCTTCCTTGTGACTATTAATAGTTTTAAAGCATAAACAGACCCGCCCTGAAGATCAGATAACACCTGAAGCCTATACTAGAGATTCTACTAATTTGCCAACCTGAACCTACTTGATATTTCACTTACATATATAAGGTCTCAATTTAGGATTTTCTTTGTTCTATTGCTATAGAAATTTAATGAAATTGTTACCGCCAAGGAACATGCTATTTGGGGCAATCTACACCCGTGTTCCTGGGGCCAGAGGCATTGTTATTTCACTCCAGAAGAAATTTAGACCCTTTGCAGTGAGAACTATGTTTTTTCATGCCAACAATACTTTAAGAGAAACGCTATCTAAATGAGCTGTCAAAGATAAATACTGCCTGGGCTACGGAGATAGCTCATTTAGCAGTTAAGAGCTCTGGCTGCTCTTCCAGAGGACCTGGGTTCAAGTCCTAGCACCTATAGGTGGCTCACAGCTGCCTGTGACTCCAATCCCAAGGAATCCAAAGTTGTCTTCTGGTCTAAGTGGGCACTACGCACCTGGGGTGTGCAGACATTCAGGCGAAACCACTACTCATATAAAAGTAAATAAATCTTAAAATAGGATAAGCCTGTATGAGGATACTAGTTAAAGCCACAGGAAAGAGTTCATCGACTCCTGCTGCCGTAAGAACTGGACTCTATTTTCATGAAGCAAAAGGGTGGAGTTGTTTGAGGGCTGAACTACAGTGTGGAATGATCTAAAGTGTTGGTGTGTACTGACGGCTGTCACCGGGACTCTTGGGTTCTTAATTGTTACTTGTTCAGAGGAGAAATAAACATCTCTCTTACAAAACACCAGGCGGCGGAGCAAGCTGAGGTAAGACCTGGGAGGGACTGGAGCCCAAGGTGAGTTACCTCCCCGAATGCTCACACTTCAGAGAGCTGTCCATCACATCTCCAGGACGCTGCGAGTGGGTAGGTGTACCTCCCAAAGCGCAGGGAAAGGGGATATGATTATAGTCTTTACTTTGCTTCAGGGCTCTAATCATTTGTGACTAGGTTAGGGGTGGAGGGGAAAAAAAAAAAAGAATTTCTCATACTTTGAGTTTTCCCAAATGTGCATTTTGAGGGGTGCAGTACACGGAGCCAACGCCCTAGACGGCTGTAATCCGCGTCACAGCAAAGTCGGGTCTCATTCTTGCCCATCCCAAGGGTCCTGCAGTTTTCGGGATACGGCTAGTATTTGACTGATCTGCCTTTAACTGACAACGCCTTACGGTGTGTTTCTAAAGTGCAGAGGCCGAAGTTGATGATATACTTAAAAAATCGGGCTCATTAACAAGTGAGCGAACGAAAGCCAGAAGGCAAACTGCTTTGCACAACTGGTTTTACCACTTTCGGCCCGGGCTAACTTTTGCCCTTCGTTCAAGGCTTAGCTGATTACCCGGACTGCGAGCGGATTTCACAGCTCGGGGTTCAAGAGGGACACTGAGGCCAGCTGTCCTTCTGGACAAGAGGCTTATCGGAGCTAACAGCCCTACGGAGGGTAGTGAGGGTCCCGCCTTAACAGTTCCAGAGGGCAGCGGGCCACGTGACTGACAGGATCACGTGACCGGCGAAAAGCTGGTTCTTGCTCACAGGCCGCCTCTGGAGCCGCTCCGTGGGAAGTTTCGAAGTTAAGCGAGTTACTCGTGGAAACCAAGCCGCCGCAGTCGCGGTAGCCGCTCACGTGACTCCGCACGGCCCTCCTCGCCTGGAAGCACGTGGCCCCGCACAGCACATCACACCCGGGTCCCTTCCGCCTCAGCCTCAGTGTCCCCGGTCTCCGCGCCCAGCCGCTCGCCCCCTATCGCTCCGGGGCGCCTGCGCAGACGGGGGACGCCGGCGGACAGGTTGGTTTGCGGCACCGCCGTAAAGCGCCGTCGTGCGCCGGGCACGTCGCGGGGCCGCGGGCGCCGCCGGGTCCTAGTGCCCGCCGGTGCCGGGAGCGGGGCTCGCGGCGGGGCTCGAGGCGAGGCCCCGAGCCAGGCGCCGATGGCCGGCCGCTTCCTGGGGCAGGCGGTAGCCACCGTGTCGCTGTCCGTGGCCTTCGCGGCCCTCGCTGTCCGGTCGTCAGGCTGCCGCGGCATCCCCGCGCCCAGGTACCCCGTTTGCTGGGCGGGCTGCAGCTCGCAGAGCTCGCGTGGACCCGCGGTCCCCACCTTCCTTTCCCGAAGGTTCTGATGGAGGCTGGGGCTGCGTCCCGGATCTGGGGGAACGGAGAGCGGGGACGCTTCCCGATCCCCGGCCTCTAAGTCTGCCCTCCTAGATAAGCCGCGACGTTAACTCGGGGCGCCGGGGAGTTGAAGGAGCGTTTGGTGTGCCGCCCCGTGATGGGGGTGGTCCCGAACCCAGGGAGTGAAGCGTCTGTACCGTTAGTCCGAGTGGCAGACTGTGCTCTCTGAGCGCAGGGAGGCGTTGACTAGTGGCTTCTGGTTGCTTAGACAGACTGGCAAGTGAAGTGTGCGCGCAGGTGCCACGAGACTGGGAACTTCGCTCTTTCCCTTCGTTCTCTGCTGGGCAAGGTGGCCGCGACTTGATTTCCTAGTGACTTGGGAACTTTGTTAGCCTGCTTCGGTCAAGTGACTGCAGCAGCGGCGCTGCCCCTTCCTCCTTAAAGCACGTACAACCCGCGCCTCAAACGACTGTATCCGGGAGGCAGACTCACCAAGCTTCAGTTCCGAAGAGGAGCCAGGTTAATGACACCTTTTGAAAATGGAATTACTGATATTACAGGTACAAGCTCACAGCTTGAAAATAGAATTTCTTCTGCTGAGGTTGATAGGCCCCCCATGTCTTCCTGACAGTGCTTAAAACCCCTCAATCGGAGTGTCCCCCAGGCTGGGGATTAACTTCCTTTTATACCTCCTTCTTCAGTGGGGTTTCCAGCCCTGTGGAAGTCACTAATGGCATTCTCTGTTGGTTTTTACCACAACAGTGCCAAGCTACTTGGTGCTTATTCGTTATTTTAGTAAGACGGGGAAGGACATAAGTGTTTCCAGAATTCTCTAAGAATAAATGAGTAAAAGTATATTAAAAACAATTTTTGTAGCTCGTAACAATTAAGGGAAATCCAGGAAATAGTCTTGTAACTAGTGTTTGTGATTTACCTAGTAGTGAAAACTGTAGAAAGTCTGGTTTCTGTTTCCCAGCGGGTTCTGTCGGTGAGTTAAGTTTCTAGAGATGATTGTATGCTTTGTTTATGTGCTCACATGTCACACGTGTGACCTAAAAGTGAGGCAGAGGTGAATCAGCTTTCATAGAGCTTAGTGCCTGGGTCTGGGTTCTGGTTCTGCTGTGAGTGTGTGGCCTGGGCTAGCCTATTAGCTTCCGTAGTCTTTCACCGACTCACTTCCAAGTCGAGGATGCTGAGGCACAGATGTGTGAGCAGTGTGCCAGGGCTTAAGAGCAGCTTGCAAGTGCTCATTTAGCTCTGAAAAATTACAACAGTCAAGATTTTCTTCAGTTCGAAGCAACATGCAGCTCCTGGATTTCTTCCTTTTTTCCAACTTTTTTTGCCAGTCTTAGGAACTGGTCTTTGCTCTGTAAGATGCATTTTATTAGTGTCCTAATTCTCATCTGTTATGCCAATTGTATTTCCAGCACAGTTCTGTAGTGAAGTATCAACAATTTAGGCTCTGTGTGTGTACATAATAAGTGTTCTTGTTCCAGCAGCCAGCACAGTCTCACTTTGGAGGGCTGGTGTAGATGGATTAGCTCTTCTCTGCGGGCAAGGTGCTCAGTTTGACTTTATTTTGCTATTTATTTTAAAAATATTTATGCATTTTGTGTGTGTGTGTGTGTGTGTGTTTGTGTGTGTATGCATGTGTGTGCAATTGTGTGTGTCTGAGCATCTGTGTGGAGCCCGGAAGATAATGGTGTCTTATCACTCATTGTTTGCCTACTGTTTTGAGGAAGATTCTTTCCCTGAACCTGGGGCTTGTGTTTTTCTGGCGGGACTGAGTCCTTCTGTCTCAACCCTCCCTCCCCCTCAGCTGGGGTCACTGGTGTGTGTGGGATGCCTGGCTTAATTATACAAGTACTGGAATCTGAACTCCGGTTCTCAGTGATTGGCAGTGGCTGTTCCTCCTCAGCCCCACTGTTCTCCTCAAGGAATTAAGTCTACCTAGAAAAGTAATCAGGCAGGTGTGTAAGTCTCCTCTTAAAGGCCAGATAGCATGTGGGTACAGTTCTTGCTTAGTCTTTCCTAAATCAGGGAGCAGAGAACCCCAGACCACTTAAAGAGTTTTGGCACTTGATTGGGATAGAGTAGAATAATAGATATTTTCTCTTGCCCTATTCCCATCCAAGAAACTTCTCTCTCATTTTAAAATAAAGAACAGGGCCTTGTTAACTTTTGCTTTAAAAAAACATATATCTGTTTCACACATATGTTTTTGCATATAAGATTGAATGAGCAAGGCCACCTCATAAACAAATAAAAGCGGCACGTTTTCGTTACTTTCCTATTTAATGACATGCTTGCGTTAGCTGCCTCAGATCTGGAAATCCAAGCTGTAGCCTCTCTGAAAAATAAAGATCTTCCTTGCTCATTCAGTCTGACACACAAAAACATTTGTTTTGTGTGGATGCTTGTGTGTGGTTGTGGATACACATGTGCAAGGGTGCAGGCGACTCAGAGGTCAGAGGCTGTGGACGCCCCGGAGCTGGAGTTATAGGCGGTGGTGAGCTGTCTGGCTTAGGTGTTGGGAATCAAATTGTGTGCTCTGCATGAGCAACACACACGTGACTGTTGAGTCATCAATCTCTTCAGCCCTAATTTTCTGACTTTTAAAAGTTTTTGAAATTGAAAAGTCTTTCGAGCTCTTTGAACTAGGTTCTTTAATTCATGCGCCTTCGGAATGTATAAGTTGTTTTTCTTTTTTCTCCTCAGAAACTCCTTTCCGTCCTGTGGGGTTCACCTTAACGCAGCCATCATGTCTGGCTCCAATGGTGCCAAAGAGAATTCGCACAACAAGGCCCGGACGTCTCCTTACCCAGGCTCAAAAGTTGAGCGGAGTCAGGTTCCGAATGAGAAGGTGGGCTGGCTTGTGGAGTGGCAAGACTACAACCCGGTGGAGTACACCGCGGTCTCTGTCCTGGCGGGGCCCCAGTGGGCGGACCCTCAGATCAGGTGAGCGGATGGGGTGCTGGCGGGGTCTGAGACTCAGAAGGTCAGGAGTTTTAGGCTCCCTTTGACACTTGAGAAGCCATTTTAATCTATGCTGGGCATTGTTACATGTCAGTTTCTATGTTGGCTTGAATTTACCTGAACCAAACAATCTGTGCTTGTTTATTCTTTCTTAAGTTTTGTCAGGATCCCGCTTAAGAGGCAAATCTATTTTGGTTTGAAATCGCTGCTGTTTGTTTCAGAATAATGACAGCTGGTGGTACCTGTTTTTGCATGTTCTAGTCGGTTAACAGTTGTACTCCTCTGTTGTTTCTTGCACAGCTAGTCTGGTGTTTGAGCTTGTGAAAACATTGTCAGATTTTTTTTTCCAGATTACCAAAACCCAATGAGGAGCATGAAAAGATAGGAATGTTGTTTTACAAAAAGTGAAAATCCCAAACACTCCCATTTTACCAATAAGGATTCAGGAGCCAGACACTTTGGTGAAAACCTGCTAGCTCAGAGAGGCAGAGAAAGCACCCAGCTGACTTTCCTTCTCAGCTCACATCCAAATGGAAAAAACCCAGAAGGCTCACCAACTCAGCTGACAGCCCAGGAGGAAAAGGCCAAAAAAAAAAAAAAAAAAAAAAATCCAGGGCAGAAAGCTTGCTAGCTCCAGGCCCCAAAAGCCAGGGAGCTGAGGAGCTGAAGCCTAAGCTAAAGCCAGAGAGAGCTTAAGTAAAAGCCCTTTCTTTTTCTCCACACTGCCTTAAATACCCCTCAACTCAAAGTCCCTCCTACTCTTTAATCCTTGTCAGCTGGTTTCTTGCTCCGTCTCTTGACCTAGTGTTAACTTTATTAAATCCTGTGCACAGAATGCTCTTGGATTAAAGGTGTGTGCTAGGGCTCAACCACACCAAACAAGAAACAGGGTTTTACAGTTCACAATTTTGGGGTTCACAATGGGATCAAACATCCTGCAATATAGGAGAAAGAGAGAAAGATAGGCAGGAGGGAGGAGAGGCAAAGTGCTTTGATTATGTTCCTGGAAGTGATGGATTGGTTCATATTTTATGCTTATATTCCCCTTTATCCTCTTTCCAGCTTTGCCAAGCTATAATATACAAAAATTGTATGTATTTAAGATGTGCAGCTCAGTGGTCTAATCCATGAGTATGCTGTGAAGTGAGGAAGTTAACACAGCCTTCACTGTCTTATGTAGGTTAGTCTTAGGCGTAGGCTTAGGGTTAGGCTTAGGCTTAGGCTTAGGGTTAGGTTTAGGCTTAGGCTTAGTCTTAGGCTTAGGGTTTCCTGCAGTGAGAACATCTGAGGTCTGTCTTCAGCAGGTTTCAGGTATACAGCACAGTGTTAGCTATGGCCACTGAACTGGACAGATCTCTGGAACGAATCCTACATCACCAAAACTGCCTGTCTTTTCAGTGACATTGTCCCGTTTTGCCTAGTGATAAATATACTATTGTAGCGTTCAGTAGTTAAGAGCACTTGTTGCTCTTACGGAGGACCTGGATTTGGCTCCCAGCACTCACACGGTGATTATGAGCGGTTATTCATAACTCCAGTTTCAGAGTGTCTGACCCCTCTTCTGATCCCCATGGGCACCAGGCACCCACATGGCACACATGTAATTAATGTAGGCAAAGCACTCATACACATAACATAAAGTCAACCTAAAAATTATTTTTTAAAAGTTATTATTTATTTGAGTTATTTTAATTATTTTATATTACTTTTTTTTGGTGCTGGGCATTGCTAAGCATATAAGTGTTCTGCCACTAAGGTACATTGTCAGCCTAAGTTTATGCTTTAATTTGTGTATAAAAACATAAGAGTGCACATTCTGATGTTTGGTGCACATATACATTTGAATCAGCTTAAATACAGCTGTTGCAGAAAATAGAGGGGCTAGTGATGTTTACTCTTAACCACTGATGATTTTCATGGCAGTTATTAGTAACCCGCTACCATAGCAACAAAAGACCTAGACTCCTGATAGAATCTTAAATAAGCCTTGTTTCACCTGGGGCTGGACAGGTATCACCCCTGAGCTACCCGACACCTCTCAGCCCCACACAGCTCAGACATTTGCCTTGATCATTCCTATCCGGGCTCCTTCCCATCCAACAGCTCCGTAAGTGCTTGCACGTGCTTCCCACCTGAGCCGCGCCTTTCCATGCTGGTCCAGACTATTCGGACATAATCTGTAACTTCTCTGAAGAGTGCCGTAGCCCCAGAACCTTAATCCTGGGCAAGGACACCTCAGTGCCCATTGAGCAGGCTGTGCCTACTCCTTTGTTCTGTTCCCATACTCTGGGAACCTCCATGCTGCCTCAGCCTCCTGGAGACCAAGGGCTTTAGGGTCTATAATACTGGGAGCGTGCACTGATGATGTTTTCCTTTTAATGAGTTACCTATGAGCTAGTCACTACACAACATTTTTACAAACTTTGTTTTTAGTCCTTGTAATCTGGGAAGCAGACATAGTTACAGAAAAAAACACAGAAAGACAATGACCATATGTTGGTTTGACATTTTAGGGGGGAGATGCTCAGTGGGTCCAGCTGTTCTTGCTGTGAGTGCATTTGGGCCCCAGCACTGATGTAAGAAGCCAGGAGGGTGGTATTGGCTTGCCCAGTGCTGGGGAGGGAGGTGTGGGGCCTGGAGCTTGGCCAGCAGCCTGGCATGTCTGTCCAGTTCCAGGCCAGTGAGAGGCCTAGTTGAGAAAGAGTGAGTGAGAATTGACTCCACTCTCCACACGCACACACACACACGCACACTCCTTCTCCCCCCAGCACTTCTAACAACAAAGGTCAAACTAGTTGGTTGATGTGGGTTTCGGGAGAGTGCTGACTGCGGGCCAGGAAGCTTGAGTTGGGGACTGCACACCCAGCAGCTCCCGCAGGCAGCTCTGTGTGGAGAGCAGGTTCCGCTGTGTTATATCACAGCGGGGTTACTGTTCACGGTGCGTTAGTGCATATTTTATAAAGAGCTGGACAGCACGTAGGCGGCAGATGCAGGCACATCTCTGTGAGTTCAAGGCTGGCCTGCTCTACAGAGTGAGACCAGGATAGCCATGCTACAAAGAGAAATCCTGTCTTGGGGAAAAAAAGAAACCAGGGCTAGAAAAAAGAATTTCAAAAGTTGCCCATGTAAAGAGGTGGCAGATGTGTGAGAAGGCGTGAATGCTAATGACTGACTTCATCATCACAGTTTCGACTGTCAGATGGCCACTCTGTACCCATAGTGTGTCCAGTGACTGTGTCAGTCAGGAAGACAGAAAAGGGAGCCCCTGTTTGCTGATGGCTGTGGTGTGTAACTTGTACTTTAACTCACCTGACGCCCAAGTTTGTCCTCTGAACTCTGAACTCTTTGCTGAAGTGCTATCACACAGTCTGGGAGGCACAGAGCCCCAAGCATCCCTCATGCAGAACCCAGCAAGCAGTGTGCATCATGTGAACAGATGTGCATGTGGGGGCAGTGTGCAGGAAGAGAACGAGGAAGGCTGAAGAGTTAGGGGTTTGAGGAAAGACCGTGTGCAGGTGGTGGACAGGAGTTACAGAAGATGATAAAAAGCTGGGTTTTTCTAGTTCTAATTCTCATAGATTTTTTTTTTTTTTTTTTTTTTTTGTGGTGGATAAAGTGCAAAAGAATGTGTTTGGTACAGAAAGTGTAATGTACAACCTCAGTGTCTGGATGTCTGTTCTGACTGTTTAGAAGTTCATTGTGTTGTGTGAGCTTTGGGTCTGGCTCTGGTTTTGCTCTTGTTTTAATTTATTTGCATGTTTTTTTGTTTGCTTTTTGTTTTTTTGAGACAGGGTTTCTCTCTGTAGTCCTGGCTGTCCTGGCACTCACTCTGTGACCAGGATGGCCTTGAACTCAGAGATCCGCCTGCCTCTGCTTTTCAGGTGTGCCACCAGAGCTGGCCTATTTGCAAATTCTAAACTACTGTTTAACAAAGTGCTTCCGCTGAGGGGAGGCATGAATACGGCGCACACTCCCCAAAGGGCGCAGGTGAGGCCCAGTAAGCATGTGTGGCTCAGGTCGGCTCTCCGGCATGTCTGCACGACTATGTCTTTTTTAAATATGTGTCATGTTTATTGTATAGTTGCTGGGATGAAACCATCCTTTATCAGCTTTGATAAGGTCAGTATTTTTGACAGTATGAACCAATATACATTAAAGTAAAGCAATTAACGTTATTTGAAACAGTAGAGAGATCTAGTGTTCAGTAGGAATCTTGGTTTGGGTTCTCTTGGGAGGCAGCGGTTGCTAGTGTGCCCACAGACGGTCTGTGTTGCTGGTCTAATGCAGACGTTTTGTGCATGTGGGAGGGCTCCCTTCTTTCTTTTAAGAGGCGCAATAAGGCTCATTGTACTACATTCTTTTCTGCTTTGACTAAAGGGGGTCTTTGCCCCAAGAGCCTGTTTTCATGAATGAGATGATTGTAAATCAGAGCTCACTCTTAAGATGTTCACTGCTTCAAACACACTGTTCATGATGAATAATGGTTAGATCGTTAAGTTGCAGGGATATTTCGTCATTATTTTGTTTGCATTGTCATTCTCGTTGCAGTGAAAGCAACTTTTCTCCCAAATTTAATGAAAAGGACGGGCATGTTGAGAGGAAGAGTCAGAACGGCCTGTATGAGATTGAAAATGGAAGACCCAGGTAGGTGCTGGGATTAAGGAAGGGGTGGTTGGCATTCTCAGTATAATTGTCAGTGCCAGACGTGGTGTGGAATTTAAGTATGTGCAGTAACTAAATTTCCACAGAACTCTGTGTGTATGTGTCCATATATTTCTAGTTCCATTTAATAGAGATTTGGAAAGAATTTACATACAACTAGTAAGTGCTAGAGACAGGATTTAAATGTATTGTTTCATAATTGTAACTTGAAGGTTGGAATAATTGAATAAATTATAAAAGTTTATGTTTTCAATGGTTATTTATTAAATGAGCTAATGGCTTAAAATAAGAATTTATCCAAATACGTAAGACATAGAAGACTAAAAACAAAGCTTTGCCGGGGGTAAGCTGTGCTCCAAGGCTGACCACCTCGTGCTCACGTGGTGGAAGGAGAGATTGACGGCTGTGGGTTGTGTCCTGATCTCTACCTGCATGCACGTGCGCTCACACACGCTCGAGTGCACATATACGCGCACACACACTGAATAAGATGTAATTCAAAGAACAAGTAAAACCCAGTAACGTTTTCTTCAAGGCTCTTTTTGCTCATCTCCTGTTCCTGTCCTGTGACTTTAAAAGGTATTGTCAGTTGGCCAGGTGACTTTTTAAAAAAATGCCTGTGAATTTGGTACAAAACAATGTAAGAAGTCATTCTGCTTCAACAGCAGTACAGGCATGGGGCGTGAGTGTGGGTGCGCTCCGCCGACAGTTTCTTCTGTTGTAAATTAGATTCAGAAGTGATTTGGGGGCTGGGAAGGTGGCTTTGTGGGTAAAGCTCTTGTGCAGGTTAAAGACAGGAACTTGTACCTCCAGAGCCCACATGAGAGCCGGGCCTAAGAGAGAAGCAGAGACAGGGTATACTGGAGTAAGTGGGGCTACCTGAGACTGGCTGGCTGGCCTCCCTCAATAAACTGGAGGGCTGTTGATGAAGACCCCCTCAGGCCAGATGTCAGCCATGTGCCTGCACACATGCGTACCCACCTGTACATCCAGATGTGTGGACATGTGTGTTGTAGCCAGCCAGATTTTAAAAATGACCACATCCAGTTGATTTCATGCTATAGGTGGTCTTTTATTTTCTTCTTCCCTAGAAATCCGGCAGGGAGGACAGGACTGGTTGGCCGGGGTCTTTTGGGGAGATGGGGCCCAAACCATGCTGCAGACCCCATCATAACCAGGTAAAAACTGAGATGTTTCAGTAGCGAAGAGAACTCACCCTGTTTTTAAGTGATCAGAGAAATACAAACGTTAGTGTGTGTTGGTGTGTAGTATTGAACATACAAAGCTGTGGGTTCAGCTAGGTATTGTGGCTTATGCCTGTAATCTCCACACTTGGGAGGTTGAGACAGGAGGATTTTCTGTGAACATGAGGCCTGTCTCAAACCTCAGAATCAATCAGTGGGGAAGTTAATCCAGCTGTGGTTTATATTGAGGGTGGAATCGGGGCATCATCTGCCAGGCACATGCAGCTTTCTGCTGCAAGCTGTATACTGTGCCCGTGATTATGACCAGCACAGCGGGACACCCTTAACTTAAAACATGAGGGTTTTTCTTGTTTGGTTTGGTTTTTTGAAACTTGAGAGCCTGTTTCTCAAGTATGAACTTTATAAATGACAAAGTCATGTTGTAGTGTCAAAAGTTTGGACACACCTGGCAGATATTTCTTGAACGTGTCTTTTTGTTTGTTTGTTTTTTCTGCACCGAGTGGGTATGTTAGAGGATGTAAAAAACTTTAAGGATTAAGGTTTGGTCAGTGAAGAGCTGTGGCTTCCTCTGCAAGGCTGGAAATAGGAAACAAAACCCACAGAATACGATCAAGTACACTCTCGCATTGCTCAGCACGGCTGACGTCCTGAACTTCCTCCTGTGTGCCCGTCACACAGCGTGCTCAGAGAAGCTTGGATGATGCAGGCCGGTCAGTCAGTGCCGCCTGCTGATGCAAGAGACTTAGCAAACATAGGACTGTGAGGCAGCTGGAGGAACAGGCGTGATGTTCTCAGAGGAGAGGGGGCGGTGGAGAGGGGCTGAAGGTGGAGCTGGGGGAGATCGGGTTGTAGAGTGATAAAAACACTAGTGAAACACAAAACAAGTAAAAGCAGTTCTTTTAGGTAGATGAGCACTTTGTTATCGCAAAAACGTCTGTGATGTCGCATGGGTGTGAACTGGAACCTCTGCTGCTTTCTGTCCCGCTCACAGGTGGAAGAGGGATGAGCACGGGAATAAAATCACACATCCGGTTTCCGGGAAGTGCATCTTACAGTTTGTTGCAATAAAAAGGAAAGACTGTGGCGAGTGGGCAATCCCTGGGGTAAGTGTGCCCACAGGGGCTAGCGTGCCCACAGGGGTTAGTGTGCCCCGGGGGTAAGTGTGCCCACAGGGATTAGTGTGCCCACAGGGGTTAGTGTGCCCTGGGGGTAAGTGTGCCCACAGGGGTTAGTGTGCCCACAGGGGTTAGCGTGCCCACAGGGGTTAGTGTGCCCCGGGGGTTAGCGTGCCCGTGTCTGCTGCTGTCACTGCCTTCACTGTTGCTTCTTCACTGGGAGGCTCCGGTGTGTGCCAAGGTTACTCTGTCTCTACTCACTGCACTTGTCACCACCATGGGGTCTCATTGTCTCCACGTTTGGGCCGATGTAAGGCTTTTAGAAGTCAAGTACGATTCTAGCATCCTTGGAGAGGACACGAACTTTTGGCTAGCTCGAGGCTCATCTGCTTGTGTGCTCCCCACTGGTGATGGTCCAGGCTCTTGTCTTTAAAACGAAGGTGGTCATGTTTACCTCAGAGAGAAAGCCTAGGAAGACTTGGCATATGGTTGGCACATGTTAGGTAAGGTTCGTCTCAGGCCCCTACTCTACCCTCAGTTTCCTATGCCTAGGGCTCTTTATTGAATTCCTTTACAATTTTTAAACATAATGAAAAGATAGCACTGTTACAGACTTTTCCTTGTAGTTCCGTGTCAGCATCAGGAAGAGCGCCATGGAGGTAGTGAAGTGACCTGTAAAATATGTGCTGTGTATGGTGGAGGTATTGTCTTTGTGCCTCTTGTGAGATGGAGGGATGTGATGTGAAGGGGAGACTTTACAGCTACCCTGCTGTAGAGGGTAAAGTGGAATGGAGTTAAGGACTCCAGCTGACTCGGACCCAGGCTTAGGCTGGTTACTATGTGCCAACTCACCCTGCTTCTCGGATGCTGCGTGCAGTTACACAAGAGCAATTTCCTCATTTCTATTGTCATCTGAAATTCTGGTCAAGGAAGCAGCTATTGTCATTGACAGACTTTGAGGGCTGTTGACCTCGTACCTTCGTACCTTCGCCAGTTAATATTGTAGACATTGAGGTGTGACAGAGCAACATTCCAGTAAAGCAGGCAGAGATGTCATAGATGAGTAAGTTAGATGTATTTTGTGTTAGTGGATGATAAAAGAAAACCGGAAGCAGGACAGGGAGTAAAAAGTGACTGGTGGTTTGCAATCTTAGCTACAGCTAGATTGATAGGCCTTTGGGGGATGCTGATGTTGAGAAGGGAGGGAGGGAGTGCTTTCTAATGATGTTGTTCAGGGAGGGAAGGAGTTTCTGTGGAGAAACTGGAGGGTTCTGGGAGAAGCACTTGGACGAGCTAATGGCAGGTGCAGCAGCACCCAGAAGGGCGTATTTGTTCATGGGGCGTTCTGCAAACACTGAAGAAGCTGTGCTGGAATGAACTAACTGATGTGGGAAGAGTCACTGTGCTGTTTTCTGGCCTCCAGGCCTCGTAGCTTGAGTTGGGAAAGTCTCAAGAAGTGACTTTGCCTGGCCCAGTCTGCCACAGCCTAACCCTGGCCCAGTTGCTGTGGCTGGTATATGCCAGCCTTTCTTGGCTGCTTCTGCTGGAAACAAAGGGTGTAAGAGGTGCTGTTCCCTGAGGGTGCAGATAGCTTTTATGGGCAAATACAGAACTACACGTTTATTGTATGAGTGTGTACTGAGTGTGCCAACATTTACCCCTGCTTACACATGACTGTAGGGCATGGTGGACCCTGGAGAGAAGATCAGTGCCACGCTGAAAAGGGAGTTTGGAGAAGAAGCCCTCAACTCCTTACAGAAGTCCAGCGCGGAGAAGAGGGAGATTGAGGAGAAGCTGCACGCACTCTTCAGCCAGGAGCATCTTGTGGTGAGGAGGTCCCTGGGGCTCCGGCCTGGAAGGCTGTGACACATTTCTTACACGCTGAGAATCCATTAGACAGAACTCTTTGTTGACGTACATTCAGCGTGCTGTGACAGGCCCTTCACATTTTAGATTTGTTATGCAAAGTTTTTTGTTTTGTTTTGTTTGTTTTGATTGCTAACCATTTAAGGTTTATGTCTATATTGTCTCTAGACTTTGTGTTAGTGAAAGAAAATACCACAGAAAGCATGGGGCATCAACAATGTTTGACTGTCGTTTGGATTGCTTTGTTTTTGTTTCAGAATTGGCTCTCTTAAATTTGTTTTTTTTTTTTTTTTTTAAATAATTAATTAATTATATAGTATTCTGCCTGCATGTCAGAAGAGGGTACTGGATCTCACTATAGATGGTTGTGAGCCACCATGTGGTTGCTGGGAATTCATCTCAGGACCTTTGGATGTACAGCCAGTGCTCTTAACCTCTGCTCCAGCCCTTAAATTTGTTTTTCTTTTAAAGGGATGTAAGACACACTGCTCAGATTGGTTAAATATTTGCTGTGTAACCTGGGACATCCTCAAATGTCTCTGTGTGTGTGTGAATGTGCACATGTGTGGGCGTGTTAGGTGTGCATGTGTGTGCATGTGTGTGTAGGAGGAAGAACATTTCTTGAGGTGTTGTTGATCAGGTACGCTTTCCTGCGCTCTTTGGGACAGAGGTTCACTGGTTAGGTCTGGTTGACAGGTCAGCAAGCTGCAGGGATCCGCAGGTCTCCCTGTGTTTGCCCAGCATTTTCCTTACTGACTAAGCTCTCCAGCCCCCTGCTGGCTCTCCTAATTTCCTCCTCTGTCCTCCTTCCTCCTCAGGAGACGTGTGTTTTTGTTTCTGCTGTCAGCATGGTCTTACATTTGTGTTGGATGACTAGATTTCTTCTGGCATTAATAAGCTTTAGATTTCAACTTCTAGATTTGTCTATGTATTTTTTAGGTTTATCAAGAATAATAAGCCTTTCAATGTATGAAGTTGTAAACACAGTGATTACTGAAATAGAAAAATGCTTCTAACATGGAACCTTTCTAGAAGTATGTTGACTCTAGAAGTAGGTTGACTATTCTCAAGTGTTCCCTTGGTGCTGTTGAACTTGGGACTGCAGCACACGAGGCATGTTCCCCTGAGCTATGTCCCCCCGCTCCTCTCAGTCTGTGCCACTGAGCATTTTGTGAATCATAAAGCTGCCTCAAACGAGACTATTGTCCCCTGAGACAATGAAGCTATGTTAACAAGTCTGTGAAGCTATGTTAAGGTTCTATGCTATTTACACTTCTTTGTAAGCATTTCTTGGAGGGTAAAAAGACATAATCTGACATAAAATCTTCACCATTTTCAAATGTCCAGTTGAGTAGTGTTAGGTGAGCAGCAGCGTTCTTAACATGACCCAGGGAAGGAAGGCCGCCCCTCTGCTCCCCCACACTCACCCTAGACTACCGTTCTCTTCCGCCTTTGCAAACAGATATACAAGGGCTATGTTGATGATCCGAGGAACACTGACAACGCGTGGATGGAGACGGAAGCTGTCAACTACCACGATGAAACAGGTGATTTTGTTCTTCCCTATGTTGCGCTGACTAGAACTGCAGGACCGGCTGAAGCCGAGCTGTCTAGTAGGGTCTCCTCAGGTCCAGAGTAGAGTCTTTTCAACCAACTAACTGAGTTTAGGTTCGTGCGTCTCTGCAAGTCAAGTTGCTTGTATTTAAAGAATGCTGAGAACAAAGCCTTCGAAGTTTATCTGGAGTGACTAAAATATCTTTAATCCATTGATGACGTATGAAGCCCAGATTTATAGGCTAAAATAATACAGTTTAAACCCAGCAATTATTTAATACGAATATTAAACCATGAGTAACTCTGTGTAAATGAAAGCAAAAGCAGGTGAGCATTTGGTGGGGCAGCTTGGTGATTAGGTAAGAAATGGTGTTGACATTTGTGCCGTCGACTGATGATCCTGGCGCTGCAGCCTTGGGCTCGCCATGTTTGTAATAAGCAGTATGGTCGAGCACATGCTTTTCCTGATCTCCAGGTTTTAGGACTTATTGGGAGAGACAGTCTGTTAGTATAGCTGATGGAACCACTGTCTTCAGTGATTGGGATCTCCGCATCAGCTCCCCTCAGAGCGCTCTTGTGGAGCAGGGCGGTGTCCTGAGCATTTGGTGGTAGTGAACCGAGGCCATCTGGAGAACTTCCTGTGCTGGCTCTTTGCTGAACTCACAGTCTTGTGCTAGTCGCTTGTCCTGGACCAGTGCTCCTTCTCTGTGCACCCAGGGGGAGGTCTCCTTTCACTCCCCCTTTCCTGGCCTTGGGAAACTCCAACAAGTTTCCGTTCTCTCTGCAGCAGCTCCAGAGAGATGCAGAGTTCATCTCTTAGGGCAAGAACTCAGAGACATATGCAAACTGAGTTCAGAATGGGTTTCCCCAGCCTAACTGGTCATAGTTCATTATTTATCCATGAGACTGAAAACAAATGACCTTTCCTTCAAAGAGCAAAGATGGGTTATATCCCTGATAGGTTGCTGAGCTTTCTTTCTCTGTAGAAAGAAAACTCTCTGCTCATAAATTTCAAGGTGTTTGCTTTGCCTGTATGGATTGACCACAGCTAATCTAACAAAAAAACTTAAGGCAAGTAGAGCTGTGAAGACTTTGTGTCTATCTGGCAAGAGTCTGGCTGCACTGACTCCTTGATTTGGCTTCCCCAGACCTTTGGGCATCCCCAAAAGACTTTTGGGAAGACCTAAGGTGTGTCCTTCCCTCCGTCAAATCCCTTGTTGGTAAAATGATTGTACCCGAGGGCAGTGAGCGGCGTGTCTCAGACAGTTGCAGTTCTCACTGCTGAGAGAGGGGATTTTCTACCCAGGGTGTCGGTGTGTGCCATGACCCATGTTCTTTGCTGGATCTGAGGACTATTTTCTGCTCAACTTTCTTCTTGTCAGAATGAGAGAGGTGGCTGTTGAACGCCCTATCTTTAAATATTAAAGTTTTGTGTGATGTAACAAGTGAGGAATAAAAGGAAGTCTAGATGTTAGTAGTTCAGGTGTAACACGGGATGCCAGAGGACTGTCCTGAGGTAACAAACGTGTTAGTGCCACACCAGCTGTGCCCTCAGGCTGTGAACGTGTGTGGGGGCTGCCGTGGGGGCTGGCACTAGCACTGGCGCCTGCTGCCAAACACTGTCTTCTGAGGACTTTTGCTGTCTTACTTTAACGGTGATTTCTGCATAGGTAAAGTAATTGAAATTTATTTAGAGACTAGATGACATAAGGAAGAAATTAAAACCACAACCCTTAGTTAGCTTCCTTTAAACTTTGTGTAGCTTCACAAATGAAGAGATTAAGAAGTGCTCAATCTGCATTCTGTTTCATTGCTTGATATTTCACTTAAAAAGATATTCTGAGCACAGCTTGATGGCAGCCTCCACCAGCTTCAGTTACTGTTTATTTCTTTGGGTTTTTGTTTTGTTTTTTGAGATAGTCTTGCCACATAGCCCAGGCTGTCCTGAGCTCACTAGATAGCCCAGACTGGCCCTGAACTCATGGGTAGTCCCCCTGCTTTTGACTCCCAGACACTGAGATTACAGTCAGGGACTGCCGTGTTAGGCTCAGTCACCTCCGTATTTAATGACTGTGGCACTCTATGTCACTGTCCGTTCTTTAACCCGTGTCATAAAGGTGAAAAGTTTGATTCTGCCCAATTTTAAGATGAGATATGGGTGCAATGGCATGGTAGTTAAGAGCACTGGCCCCTCATCCCGAGGACCCAGGTTCAGTTCCCGGTACCCTCATGTAGCTTATGAGTGTCTGTAACTGCAATTCCAGGGGATCCAGTGGTCTCTTCTGGCCTCGTCCAACACCTGGCACACACGTGCTACACAGACATACATGCAGGCAAAACACCCATACACATAAAAATAAGTAAAAATTAAAGAATATAGCATATAATAGTGAATGTTTATATACTTGTGTAAATGCATATGTTGCCTTGAATAGTTTATTTTCTTTTTCCTTTGGATAATTTTTTTTGAGACAGGCTTATCATGTAGCCCAGGCTGGCTCTGAGCTAATGAGAATACTTTGCCTCAGTGCTCTGGGGCTCCGGGATTGCTGCTGCAAGCCATCATGCCTTGTTTACTGAAACTTTTGTTTTCAGCCATTAGGATTTTACCAGCGCTTCAAGTTTGCTAGGCAGGCACTGACCACTGAGCTCAAGTGCAGCCCTGTAAACTCCGTGTATCTCCCGTGCCTGGAACACCAGTACATAAGGCTTCCTGACAGCTTTGACTAACTGCTCCTCAGAGAGCATTCCTTTTCTAAAGCACTGGGTAAACACTGTCAGTCTGTCCTGTAGAAATAGCCATGCACATTTCCAGCAACAGTGACCTTTATAAATGTATAAATAGAATTATAGTTTCTGGTTTGCCATCCACTTATATAACTTAAAACTACAAAATGAGTTATAAATTTGCTTTTTAGGTGTTTTATATTTAACTCTGTAACCCTTCTGGAACTTAGTTTTGAAAAGGGTTTCTGTCTCTCTGTCTGTCTAAAGCGAAATAGTTCTAAAAGAGAAAAGCTTTCTTATTGATACTTTCATCTAATATTTAGTCAGTTAAAGTTCAAGCACTTGGGAATATTGTTTTTTAATTTTTTGGCCACCTAATAACAATAATGATTTGTAGCTGGTCTTTTACTGCTTTGTGGGTTCTTCTTTCTTCCACCCTTCAACCCCCAACACAAGATAAGAGAGAAAAAAGGATAAGAAGAAAAGAAGGAGATCCCTGAATAAAGTGATTGGAAATGTGGAGACACTATCGTTAGACACTTCCTGCTGATTAGGGGCGCCAAGTTCCTTGAGCTTCACCATCAGGATATCTCATGTCTCCTCTTTGTTTCTTCCTTGTGCACGAACCACGACTAACAACTCCCTATGCTTCTTGGGGCTCTAGCATTTATGTACTCTCTGAAAAGTTCCCAGAATTCCAAACGTCACACAATCGCAGAAACTATCTGCAGCTGGCAACATTTTGCCTCTGCTAGAGCACGAGGCCAATCATAGTCAGCTGCCCAGAAGTGGCCCCCTGTCTCACACCTGCGATCAAAACGAAAGCACATTCTTACAATGCTGTTTTTAAAGAACCCAGAATTCAAGAGTTGTCATTACAGTGATCTAGTCTTATTTTCAGTAAGGCTACTTGAAGGTACAGAGTTAGGTGAGAGAAGCGGAATAACGGTCCCCTCTCTGCTGTGTCTTTGGAAACAGGGGAGACCATGGACAAGCTCACCCTGGAGGCTGGGGATGACGCCGGGAAGGTCAAGTGGGTGGACATCAGCGACCAGCTCAAGCTCTATGCCAGCCACTCCCAGTTCATCAAGCTTGTGGCCGAGAAGCGGGATGCACACTGGAGTGAGGACTCTGCTGCTGGCAGCCATGGGCTGTAGCTTGTCCCTGCAAGCCAGAGGCCAGCAGCGTCCCGGAACTTACCCTCACAAAGGCCACCGGGAAGTGTTTGCACCGAGGTAAAATGACTGAATACAATGAAGAGGAACACTGACTTCTCAGCTTTCTTCTCTAAGGGATTAGAGACTGTCCGATTTTGTATGTATTTAAGCATGACTGAATCAAATTTAAATAGCTAATGTCCTTTGAAGAATTGTAGTTACAATAAAAATAAAACCCAGCTGGTGGTGACTTGTGTTTCCAGTTCTTCCTGTTAGCTTCCCCGTCTGTCTGGTGAGCGATGCCCTGCTGAACTGGACTTCTCCTGGAGGCTGCCACCTCGCCTGTGCAGTTAGTGCCAACCCGATTTCCCTTTTATCTGTTTGCTTCGTGGTCGTGTGCCTGCCGTGCCCGAGGAGGCCAGAAGAGGGCATCACATCTCCCGGAACCAGATTTTCAGTTGTGAGCTGCCCTGTAGATCCTGGGAATCAAACCCCTGTCCTGGAAGAGCAGCCAGTGCTCTGAACTGCTCAGCCATCTCTCCAGGCCAAGTTACCAATTTTACAATGGAATTTCGGTTATCCCATTATTCATTCATTCATTTATTCATCCATCCATTCATTTATCCATTTACTTATTTTGAGGCAGAGTCTCACTGTGTCTCAGTTACTCTTGTAGTAAAAGATAAAAATCAATGAATAGAAATCCATATTCTCATTTTTAGGATACCTAAATTTTAAAAATATGCCCAGGTAAATTAGAAACTTGTAGAGATTTCACTGGATTGTATGTACTGTATGACAAAGAATAGACACGGGGATTAGTCAGCAGGAAGCCTTTCTGTTTTAGTGAGAGCTTTATTTAGTGCAGACGGTCATAGAGAACAGGTTTTCCTGTGATGTCTGATAGTTCACAGAACCTTCTCCAGGGTGTACACGACAGAGAGATGCCATTCGAACCTGCAGAGAGCACGGAGCAGGTGACCTGGACAGAACCCCCCCCCCCACACACACACACAGCGCCACCTGCAGCAGTGGACAAGATGCAGACCCTTAGATTCCGCCCCTAGTCACTGGAGGTCGTCTGTCCCTGTCCCTGTCGTGTGTGTGTGTGTGTGTGTGTGTTCCATCTCCGTCTGTCCCCGTCCCCATCACCTGTGTGTGTGTGTGTGTGTGTGTGTGCGCTCATGTACCCCCACCCCCTTATACTCTTTCATGTTTGGCGTGGGGAATGTTTTCTTCTCTGACAGGCACTGGTAGAACCAGTAGGAACACCGGGTCACTCTTACTGAGTGTCACTCCATCCTCAGGGATTTCACAGGAGAAGGCATGTGGAGGGATTGCTCAGATCTTCTCCCCCAGGGGCAGGGCTAGGATTTGGTCCCAGAGTGTACTCTGCCTTCGACTCTGTCTTTAGCATGAGCTATTCCTCAAGGAGGCTGTTACACGGGCTATATGTCGTGACGTCAATTCTGTCACATGAGCTGGGCTTACATGAGCCACGATAGTGCACAGAATCTAAAGGCTCTATCTGACTGGATAGTGCTATTGAAATTATGCATAATATTGGGCCAAAGATAGTTAATTTCATAATTTCTTAATCTGAGGATGATGGCAACAGTCCATATTCATCTGACACAGGCACTCTTGAGCTTTTGAAAACCTTTCAGATATATTATTCCTCACTTTAGTTACTTAATGTCATTATATCATAAAAACTAAAAGTATGGTAGATAGAGGGAACTTGAAGCCAGGCACAGTTGCACATGCCTGTAATCCCAGCATTCAGGAAGATAGAGGCAGAGGCAGGTGGATCTCTGTGAGTTCGAGGCCAGCCTGGTCTACAAAGCAAGTCCAGGACAGCCAAGACTACACAGGAAAATCCTGTCTTAAAAAAAACAGCAACAAAAACAAAAGAGGGATTGTAAAAATTCTAGCTATTTTGCAAGGCTACTGTGGTTTAAAGTGATGTTTTAAATATATAGAACTTCTGTGTGATACATATTTTAAGATATTTCTGGAGTTGTACTAAATAAACTTGCATTTTATTATATTGTGGTGCTTTGGGTGGAACCCAGGACCTCGCACATGCTGGGCAAACACTACCCACTGAGCCACGCCCCTGCTCTCTTAAATGCTCTTAGAGTACATCCTTTGAGAACATCTTGAGTAGTCAAATTGGTCTTCTGAGTTGCTTTTATCCCGGCATAAATGTATTTACAGATACTTTTTGGTGATAAAACTCTTATGATAAAAATTTAAAACTACATATTAGTTCACGAAAGGGTTCTGGGGGTCTTACCTCGAGTCCTCTGACAGCACAGTGAGAATTACTTCTGTTGGGATAGACGGCAGAGTTACAGTCAGAGTCTGACATTTTCAGAATTTCCCTTCCACCGCCACCAGCCTCTCCCACATGATTACTTTGTTGTTGACTTGCTAATACTGGTGGGGCATTGGCATAGAAATTGTGTGCCTTGGTTATCTGTACATGCTGGAAAACCGCATCCTTAATGATCTGCCAGTGACGTAGAAGGTGTCTGATGGGGGACTGTCCTCACATAGTATGTGGTGCCTGATGGAGGGGCACAGTCCTCACGTGCTATGTGGTATCTGATGGAGAATGATTTCTCTCATCTTAAGTTCCATGAACCCCCAGTGAAAGGATACTTACTGTCAGAGATGCAGAAACTTAGTTCTAAAGGTGTGGGACTGAATTCACAAGCTGGGGACTGTAATTGGTGAATGTGTTGGGTTGATTCTGTCCTATGTTTTGTAGTTTAGAATTGCTATTCTTACCTTCTGTTGGATGTCACTTTTATCAATGTAACCAGAAATAAAATCTTACCCCAAGGAAGCCCTAAGAATAGGAAAGAAAAAGAAAATGTTAAATCCTAGCCACAGTTCACTCAGTGAGTTTGTAATTCATGAGAACTTGGTTTACCTGCAGTTGGTTCAGAATGGAAGTGATTAACTGTAAAAGAAGAAAATTATACTGTCAGTGGCTGCATCTTGTAATTCATATTTATGTTAGTACATATGTCAGCTAAAACGTTTTGTATGTGAATGTGTTTTTAGAACTTCACTTGTGTAAGACTTTAAAATGAAGAGAGTTCAGATTTCTTTAATTTACAGAAGTACCTTTCTCTACCTTCTAACTGTATTGACAGCATTTGGCAGTTGGGAGGTTGGAGAAGCTCTGGCCCAATCCAAGCAGGTGGCATTTTGATCATGGATGCGAATGCCTTGTTGAGTGATCTGTTGCAGCACAACTATGAATGCCAACTTTGTCTTGCAGATCTGCTTACACAGCTGTTTCACTGGAAATGCGTGCTTTGTAGCTTCCTTAAGAGCTCAGCAGCTCCTTCAAGAAATTGGTTTGGCCTAAGTGGGGAATCCCTCTGTGCGCAAAGCTGCCTGTCCCAGAACAGGTAGAAACAGTGAAGCCGAGCACTGGCCAGCCTCAGTGTGCTTCTGGGTAACAGCAGGCTGTGTACTGAGTGCTGTGACGGGAGAAAAGGGGAGAGAGAGGCTGGGAGAGGGAGGGAGGAGGGGAAGGGGTAGAAATGAGCTGCCCGCCCCCCAGCAGATGGGGCAGCCCTGTCAGTATTGTCCGCACTCTTCAAGGCCTCCGGCAGCTTGAACAGGTTGGAGTCTCTGAAGAGAGAATGTCCTCACAAGTCTGGCAGGTCGTTTTTTTCCACGCTGGAGGATTCAGCAAAGTCACGAAGCTGGTTCAAATCTACAGGTGAGATCAGGCCCCAGTTTCCCACCACTGGCTGCCGACGCTCCCTGGGTCAGTGGAGATGCTTGCCGACTCTGTAACCACCTTAATCCATCAGTGCTGGAGGCCCGAGGGCACAGCTAGTGAGAGGGTCTCACCTCTGGACATGAACCCTAATGCTTAAACAGGGTGCGCTGTGGGGAGGGCACGCGTTGAAATTGACTTTAGGCTTCCTGGTACGTTTAAAAATTCTTCAAGGTGGTCTGAACCATTCTGTATTTTAATCCTGGGAAATTCTATCCCTCACACATAAACTACTACGGCTCAGCTTTCTGATCTTTAAAAGAATACTTCATGCCATGTTTCTAAGACACTATTAACTATGAAAATGCTTTTTTTATTAATAGCATTTAAAAGAATAAAATGCATTTTATTTATTCTGAAATAGTATGTTCCTATTTCAGAAACGTTTGTGTGTTTTAGGTAGAAATGGAACTTTTTAGTTTTATAATTCAAAGTATTCCTCCAATATTTTCATAAAGTGGTATTTTAAGGAGCTTACTAACCAATAAACAGTTCATTAAACAGTTGAATTATGTGCAATTAATTTAAAAAACATCTTTTGGGTCAGATGTGCTCGGAGGCAGGCAGATCTCTAAGAATTTAAGGCCAGCCTGATCTACATAGTGAGTTCTAGGCCACCAAGGACTACCCAGTCCCTGTCGAAAAAGCAAGCCTGCTTCTGGGTGTAGATTTGGGTAATGCTTCACATACTACGTGCTTGTGACGAGTCACCAGCGTTGGAATCTTATCTCGCTAAAGCTGCCGTTCTGACTCCTCGCTCAGTTGCATCCGTAGTGGAAGACATTGTCTTGTCACCTTACAGTTGGGTGAACTGAGTGAATGGAAAGTTTTCTCAAATGCTGGGTTGGTTTTGGACTTTGGGTTTATGGGTTTAGCAGGTGTCCTTACGCTGTGTCGAGATGAACTAAATGAGTGTAGCGGTTCTCAGAATAAACTGAGTGCAGTGGTTTCCCCCAAATAAACTGAATAAGTACAGTAGTTTTCTTAATGAACTGGCACATTTTTCATGCTACTAGGTGTTGTATTCTTAGAGACGCTATAAATTGACAGAGCGAAATATATTTACCGCTAAAAGTTGATTCGGTGTCAGAACCTTGAGTGAAAGAAACAGAATAATCCAAGAGTTACAATTTAGCATTTCACCTTTGAGTTAGCCTGGTAAGTGGAAACACTTTGAAGCCCCTCAGATGTTCTAAAATTCCATCATCAAATCCTTATCACTGATAGTTTACAAGCCCTCCCATACCCTTTTTAAAAACGATCTCTGGAAATGTACACCCACAGTTTGCTGTGTGGGCTCTCAGCTCAGTAGGGACATCTTGAGAAGATCACGCATAGGTGCTCACTGCATTGTACTTAGGGGAAGCTCGTCAGGAGGGAAAGCCAATGGTTACGTCTTACAGGTCCAATAGTGTTGGGTTAGTCTGGTACCATAAATACACAGCTTTGTGTTTTGGTTCATAGCTGAATCTATCCAGCTAACTATCCAAATAACTTACCACTACTTCAGGAAAGCCTTGTGAAAAACACCAAGTAAACACACTGTTTGTACTATAACTATGACCTTAAACCGGGCTCCAGAAATTCTGGGACAAGCTACATTTCAGGAAATCATATCCCTAAACGTAAGCAGCACGGCTGGCAGGTGGGGTGAGCGTCAGACCCCCCTCCCTGCCCTGATGCTGGAAGGTGGGAGTCTGCCCTCCAAAGCTTACGGAGCCAGCTACCTCTGCTTCCCCAGGCTGGCAAGCTCTCTCACTGCTCCTGCTGGGGACAGTGCCCTCCATGAGCTTACACCTGGGCCTGCACACATCAGCTCTCAGAGATATGTGGGGACTGTACAGTACATTCTTTAAATCAAGCCAGCTTTAAGTCTCTGCTATTGAAGTACCCTCTTAAAGGAAAATTTGCGTATATTTACCTGGTTTGGATCAAAAGGGAAGGGAAAAGGAATCGGGATCTACAAAAAGGGAAAAACAAAGACGAGTTGTGGTGAAAGAAGCCATGCCTGTTTCCCTTCGATGTCTTCTGTGCATTACTCAGTCATCCTTTAGCTTTTATGCCTCTAGGCCTGGGGACGGTGATAAACAAGACCACTGTCCTTAGGAAGCTCTGAGTGTGCTGTGCTGTTTTCCTTTAGGAGTTGTAATTTTTTTGCATAATTAGTTAAAGTGCCTTGTATCTCTTCTTGCAAACCCAACCCATGAATTTCTACCACGGATGCCACTCTCTGCTTGCCTTTACGTGCAGGCTGCCCTGTGCTGCTCGGAAGAGGTTCCATGAACACTGGAATTCTCTCTGTTGCCACGGACCTGTCTTCTTTGGGAAGTGTTTTACCCATTGCCTTTGCATCTCGGTGCATCAAAAGGACCCTGACTTTTAAAATTAATTGATATTTATTCCTTTATTTATCCATCCCAAGACAGGGTTTTTCTGTGTGGCCCTGGCTGTCCTGGACTGGCTTTGTGGACCAGGCCGGCCTTGGACTCACAGAGATCTGCCTGCCTCGAGTGCTGGGATTAAAGGCATGGCCACCATACCTGCCTGACAGCTTTCTTTTTAATATGTCCTATTTCTGGGTCAAAATTTGGGAAGTTTGGTAACCATCACCCAACTGATAGACTTGAGACTTCCCGTACTCTGCTTACCAGAGGAGCCTGCGGGAAGGGAAACTGAGGAAAGAATGGCAGGATTTGTGGTGGGTAGAAGAATCTCTGTAAAAAGAAACACAGTCTGAATTCCGATTGCCAACTTGACAGCTTTTAAGCTTTTAAGGGGAAATGTGCCATTTGAAAGTACAGCGTACCTGTTCGCTGGAACTTCCTCCAGATTGTCCAAGCTGGAAAACAAGAAGAGCAACAAGGTGAAGCAGCTGGCAGCACCACCTTACCCATCTAGACGTTTTATTTGATATAAGAACAGCTAGGGCTGGAGAGATGGCTCAGCGGTTAAGAGCACTGGCTGTTCTTCTGTAGGTCCTGAGTTCAGTTCCAGCAACCACATGGTGGCTCCCAACCATCAGTGATAGAATCCAATTCTGTCTTAACAAAACAACAACAACAACAACAACAACAAAATGAACACACATACACACACACACACACACACACACACACACACACACACGAACAGCTAAAAAGCCTCCTGTGAGCATCACACCTGCCATCCATGCATCTCGGCCTCTGAAGTAAATTATGTATTTATCAGGGAAAGGCTGAGTTAATTTTGTTTAATGATTCAAGAATGCTTTAAAGTGATATTAAAATTTTTGGCTCTAAAGTAATATTAAAAATGTTCCCATTTACTTTCTTAAGACTAAACACTGCATGCCTTATATTGGTATATTTGGCACCGACACTGCTCTAGATTTGTTTTCCGTGTGCGGAAGTTTAAAGAAAAGGGAGTAAGGGTGTCAACTCACACTTTGCAATCTCCCCACAATCTCTGGCCTCTTACTCCTTTGAAAGACCCCTTGCTGCACAGCGTGCGTGGGAGAGGGTTTCATGCTGACCTGGTGCTGGGCGTCGTCCACAGTGAATGCAGGTCGCCCCTACAGACCTCACTTACTACAGAGGCGGAAAGCATGGCTGTGGTCAGCGCACAGCAAACGATTCATTCAGCTGCTGCTGGTGCCACTGTGTCTCATGAGTTCTGAGATGGTATCAGGAGATGCAGCATTACTTCACAGCTCAACTCCAGAGCCAGCGCTCGTGTTAAATGGACACAATGCTTTAGCACACCGTGGCTGAAACGCGTGCTCTTTGCAGAGATGCTGACAGCTGAAAAGAGCACGCGCCAAACAGAAAACAGAGCTTTCTGTTGCCAGTAGGACTTTAAGTGTCTGAGAGTCGCTTTTAATCCTTTGTACACTCTGGAGTCATTCTAACTCATTTGACAGGGAAGCATGCGTTAGTTAGTTCCTGTCCAAGGTCACCCATCCACCTAGCAACTGCAGAAGCTGAGCTCTGTGACACACAGAGTCTTAGGCTGGGGAGATGACAGATCCCGTTGCGCGCCTGGACTCCGCTTTCCTCTTCTGTGAACTGTAAACTACGACGGATGCTTTCTAGCCCAGAAATGCAAAGCGGTGGTTGAGAGAACAGCTCAGTACTCACGGGGATTGGCAGAGCGGCAGCAGCGCCCAGCAGGGCCACCAGGAGGAAACTCTTCATTCTGACGGGAGGATCCGGAGCTGGAGGAGGAGGAGGCTGCAGCTCGTTTGTTCCTCATCCAGTTCCCACAGGGAACAGATGGTTAAGTGGACATGCTGACAGCAGTCAGCTAAATCCTGCCTCCAGACTCACACTTTTGATTTTTAAGCTTGGAAAACCTTTTTTAAAGCTTTAAATGCCTCTAGACCAGACACTCTCTGGCTTGGTTTATTACCTGCCAGCTCCCGCTTTTCTCACACCGTACAGCTCTGACTACGCCCAGCTGATAAGAAAAAGCACATTGAGGACATTCAGTAAAACAACATCTGCTCTGCCATGTTGGTCCTGAAGTAAACCTTCATGTTTGTAAAATCACACTTATTCAGAATTAACTTAACCTCTGCCTTCTAAACTAAATCGTTGTGCTGTGGAGCTTGGTTTTTCGAGAACAGCTTCAACATATTTTTATGAAGACTAGGCCCCACCATTGGTGGCAAGTTCCATCTATCTGTGAATCATCTGCCAGCTACTGCGGTCTACTTAAACTCAGTCTGTATCACGTCTTTTCATATTTTTTTTTTTTTTTTGTATATTTTCAGGATTCAAACAGTTCTCTCTTCTCTTAATAAGTGGACATGGTAGATACCATTAAACACCTCAGCCCAGAGTATCCCTCATGCTTTGAGTAGTATGATTAATTACCTGCTTTAAGAGGTCCTCGGAGCGACAGATTCAGGCTGCAGTGTGATGACACCCTTCGCTGGCTACTATTTAAGCGATGCTACTGACGCCTGCATGGTTTTGGCAACGTGACTCACAAATTCAATGCTCAGCTGAGCAGTTGGCTTCAGACCGGGAACTCGGTGTGTAAAGGATCATAATTCAATTATAGAATATGGCTGATTACTGAGAGGATAGTCTCCTCGGCTGGTCTTTATCACAATCAAGTGGTCATTAAAAGGCAGCCACTGAGAGCGTGGAAATTCTAGGTCTGTACTTGCGGGCCTTGGACCCTGTGTAAGATCTGGACATTCCACCCCTAGTATTTTCATTTCAAAATGAAAATGATTTTTCAAAAAAAAATTTTTTTTAGTAAATGTTTAGATGGCATCCTTAATATTAAAATCAGTTGTTTTTATTTTTAAAGCATTTTTTTTACAAAGTTGCCTGAGAGCAGAATAAAATTTAGGTGTAGTTGACACCTGCTAGCAGAACTGTGAAATGTAGTTTCTAAAACTTAGCTTCTAAAAATTGGCTTTTAATTAAGACCTTTTTTTGAACATGCTCTGAAGTTTAGAATAATTTGTGAAATTAATTTCCTGTTTGAAGAAAAGAATTAGATTTTTTTCTGGTCAAGTTGAACCTAATTATCTAGAAAGGACATGGCTTAATGTGCTTTTAGTTAAAGAACAAATAACTTACTGTTCTCAGAAATGATAAAAACAGTTGAAGATGATTGTATTGATGGTTTCTACTTCAACAGAAAACTATATAACCTCCCACTTTCATTCAATATTAAAAAGTGGAATAAAATGGATGCCAGGAATTTTTGGTGCCTCACTTCAGACCTGCATTGTACTTAGGGGAAGCTCATCACGAGAGAAAGCCAATGGTTACGTCTTACAGGTCCAATAGTAGTTGGGTTAGTCTGGTACCATAAATACACAGCTTTGTGTTTTGGTTCATAGCTGAATCTATCCAGCTAACTATCCAAATAACTTATCACTACTTCAGGAAAGCCTTGTGAAAAACACCAAGTAAACACACTGTTTGTACTATAACTATGATCTTAAACTGGGCTCCAGAAATTCTGGGACAAGCTACGTTTCAGGAAATCATATCCCTAAACGTAAGCAGCATGGCTTGCAGGTGAGGTGAGCATCAGACCCCCCTCCCTGGAAACGATGTGGTTTTTTAATAATTATAAATATATAATAAGTATATTATATATATGAGCATATATATAAACTATATATAATTTATTATTATAATATATATACATGTTATATATAAACCATATATAAGTATGTAATTATAAGTATATACTTATATATTTATGTCCCCATTGTTAGCATAACAGAAAGCCCAACTAGAAACACAAATTTTCTAAGACACAATCAGGCCACAGGAGTACGGCTTTTCGTCTGTCCCTTTCACTTTATTTGGGGAAATGAAGCACGTGGAGAATTTTCAGACCTCTCTTCCTCTCTGAGGAACAGGCCTTACCACACAGAGCTTTGAACTGGTTGGATAAAGCAATGTAGAATCACCCAAATTTTAAACTGAACTTGGCTAAAAAGCGATTGGGTTCAACTCCCTCCTTTCACGAAAAGTTACTTAATGACAAAGGGCATTCACAATTAGTTTGGAACAATTTGTTTGCCACAAAAGGCATCTCGATCTTTTCTTTAAAAGCTCTTTATTTCGAGTTGTGAGTGAGCACAATTCCATCTTGTTCTCTAATGTAAGCCCTAGGCCCATCTGTTACATCCAATTGGATGTAACTGGAAATAAACTTGAGCCGACACTTGAGGCTTTATAGACTGTTTATTAGGACATGAAGATACTCAAAATGAGGCATGTCACCACGTCCCACATCCCTAGCATGCATGAGGTGGTACGGGCAATACAAACACAGTTTTTTTGTGTGTTTTGTGATTATCAATTATAAAAGTAGAGGCAGAGATGACATCGCTACCAGTTAAAACTGTCCCCAGACGGTGCAGCCTGCAGCCATTGACTCTACAATGTTAAAGTTTTATTTCCTAAGTTAATGTTAAGCGCCTGGCACATACACACATCGCCAACAAGCACCTGCTAGCATTGTCTTGCATGCAAACAAGCATTTTGCTAAATATGAATCTACAGTGTCGTGGCTGCAGGTATTCCGAAGCAGCTGAAGCAGGAGAGGCTGGCCGGAAAGTTTCGAGTCTTTCAACTCTTATTTCAAAACAGGAGGTTTTCATCTATGTCTTCTGCAAAAACAAATAGATAAACAAACAAACAAGCTTTTAGAAAGTCATCTGAGAAGCTACAGAACCGCGAAGGCTGGAGCTGTGGATGAGCAAAACCATCTAAGGAGGCAGCATGACGAGATTCTCAGCATAGTTTGAACTCTTGGAAATGTTTCCAGGTTTCACTCCTGGCCCCTGGAATCTGAATCCCTGTGGGTAGACAGCTGTCATCTTTGTCCAACGGAGGACCACCAAAGGAAGGAGGTGGCTGGGAGGATCGGACCAAGGAGTGCCAGGTATGAAGGGCGGCTGAAGTGCCATAGAAGGTAAAATTCTGCATGCCCCTCAGCTGGGGTTTGAACTGAGTCATCTGCAGAAATGCCTGTAGCTGCATGATGGCTGACACAGTCCCCACCCCCTCGGCGTACACAAGGCCGCTCTGTACTAGGAAGGCCTTGCCACCACTGGCTGGGCACCCTACTTCTGCCTCAGTGGGCCTGTGAGTGTTTCCTGCCTCTGACTTTCCTTGGGGGGGTGTAGTCTCCCCTTCCCCTCTGCCACACCTTTGACATAGAGCTCCCCTGAATTCCTCCATTTTGGGGTGACTCAGTCTCCTTCCTGAACCCCTTCTCCAGCATCTGTTATCTACATTTTATTATTCCTTGGTGTTCAGTCATTGACCTTTGTCTGGTACCTCAACACAGTTTCTTTAGCATAATAATTCCATTCCTCAGTGTTGATGCCTCCCCGTACGCCCAGGTCTCTCTCTTTCTCTTGCTGGGGATAAACCCAAGGCCATGCACATTTGAGGTAAGAATTCTACCACTAAATTATATTCACAACTCCCTAAATGCATATTTCAATTTCTAGACTTTCTCTTGAAATCCAGACTCACTATTGAAGTATGGATTGTGTTGTCTTGTAAGTAACACTTCATCGTGTCCAAATGGAATTTGTCACTTCCCCAACCCTGCCTCTGTCCTGTGTTTCCTATGTCAGAGCCTGTAGCTATCTGTCTGGGCTCAGCGGGAATGAGGTCGCCGCACTGCTCACGTTCTCTGGATTCTCTCAATTGTCTGCTTCCCGCCTGGTTTCCTACCAGCCTTTGTATCTTTCTACCCCAAGGCTGGCAGGCTGAGCATACGTCTAAATTAAGATGTCTTGACTGTATTACTTAGTTACCCACAACTACTTGAGTCAGGTTCTTATCAACTCTTGTATTTACCACAGTCTCAGCCATTCGCTACTCTCTCCGCAGTATGACCATCCTCCTGTTTGGGGATGCTCCAACACTCTTAAAATACAGTCTTTACAGGAAATCCTGTGTGGTCTGACCTATTGCCCTGGTAGTTTCACTGGAAGGTGTTTTCTAAGAGGGATGTGAGCAGCTGTCAATGGGTGGAGTATTGGCTGGGTTTTAGTCAACTCTACACAGGCTGGAGTCACCTGGGAAGAGGGAACCATCAGACTGGCCTGTAGACAGGCTTGTGGGGCATTTTCTTGACTGATGGTTGATGTGGAAGGACTCAGTCCACTGTGGGTGGGGCCATCCCTGGGAAGATGGTCCTGGATTCTATTAGAAAGCACACTGAGCAAGCCATGGGGGGCAAGCCAGCAGGGAGCACCCCTCCATGGCCTCTGCATCAGCACCCGCCTCCAGACTCCTGTCCTGTTTGGGTTCCTGTTCTGACTTCCTTCAGTGATGGAATGTGACCTGAGATTTGTAAGCTGAAATAAACCCTTTTCTCCCCATGTTGCTTTTGATCATGCTGCTGACCACATCAATAGAAACCCTGACTAAGACACATCAGTGCTAAATAAATGAAGAGCCCCCACGACTTTCCAAACTTCATTTTTACAGCTAACGATGAGACGAATGGAGGGAAAGTGACACGGCCTGGTGCGGAGCTGGCTAATGGCAGAGCTGTGCCATTTGGACATAACTAGTTTAGATCACAGCAGTTGAAATTCAGGAAGACACTGGCTACAGTTTATCTTCTATGCTCTTATTAGCTTCCACAGGGAAGAAAGTACAGTTGTAAAGAGATGCCTTTCTTTCTCTGCCTCGCCTTGCTGTGTCCTGAAGTGATAACTTGTTTACTTCTTCTAACCGAACATTTAATGACCGCCTTGCTGGCTCAGTATGTGGTAATTCTCTCCCAGCCTCAAAATAGCGTAAGGCTGGCCAGACCACAGTGACAAACAAGACAATCAGGGGCTTTGCAAATCACTGGGCTTTGGCCTTTCTTGCTCCTCCCAGACCGCCTCCCAGGACAGAGCCTGTGTGGGCTGACACGTGGAAGAACTTCCAGACATTTTTGCAAGGGAGAAGCACAACTCTTTTTCCTTAAGTAAATGCCCTTTATGGAAACATGCCCTTTATATCAGGTCTTTAAAATCCCGAGTCCTTTAAGAAGACTTATACAGAAATGTCCTGGCCCAGCTGAGTTGTTCATGCTGATACCAGTGGCTTCAGCTGTGGTTCGCCTTTGCAGCAGAGAGTTGAAAAGACGGGTTTAGCCATTTGGGGGGGGGGGATATATTTGAACATGTATAAACACAATGGATATTCTTGTTTCAGTCTGGCTCTAATAAGCTATTAGACATATTCATTCCATATTAGTACAAAAGAGGTCTGGTTTCCAAAATGGCCTCCGATGATCCGCCATGGCCAGCGTCCCCCACAGGAGAGCAGCGTTGTCCTGTGTGACCAGGGAACATGGCGGGATGACCTCAGCCTCAGGTTACTGAGGGAGAAACGATGCCCTGTGCCGCACGTGACTAGCACGCG